GTGGGAAGCAAAGGCCGTGTACCCACCTGCGCTTTCCTTCAAGCCATCAGGCTACAGGAGAACAGCTTTAATCCTGCAAGAGCTCAGAGATCCTGTACCTAGAAGCCCATCAGGAGGGACCTACTAGAAGCTTCCTCCAAACAAGAGATGATGGGAACTTCAGCAAAAAGGCTGTGATGGTGAATGCACTGACTGTGGATCTAACATGAAAAGAGTGAGGTGACAGTGGAATAATGTGCTTTCTATGTACGTTCTGACAAGGCAAAAATAACGTAACCTTCTAAAACGAAGGGGCGGGAGAGAAGGAAGTAGGAAGAGCGCACTGGCCGGTACCGGCGACAGGTAGAGGAGGGTCCCACCCAACCCGCGAAACCGGACCGTAAACGACTGAGCGAGAAGACGGTGCTGTCTCTCTCGAAGCTAAGCTTGCCTCCCAGGTGCCTACCTCCCGTCCTAGACTTCTCTCCTCCCCTGACGGTGCCCCACCGCGACCGCCAGGACCCCCCATGAGAACACGGCCCGTGCACACAGCGCCCGGCGGCCGGGAGAGGAGCGCCCCCACTCACACCCGCGCCCCTCCGGGAAGGAAGCCGGCCTTCCTGGCGTTCTGGGCTCGCCCGGCGGGGCACGGAGCAAGGATGCTCCAGAAAAGGGACAGCGCAGGGGCGGACAGCCTCCAGCCCCCCAGCTCTCCTCCCACAGAGGCTGCCCAGCGGAAAGAGGACTCCCTTCCCCTACCCGGCCCTGGTGCTGCTGTACGTATTTACAGGGCAGCTGGGGGGCAGATCTGGGCGATGGTGGGAGCTTCCCGGCCCGGGAACGGCCTCTGACCGGACCTCACACGCCAACGCTGTGGGCATCGCCTGGCGTTCTGGGTGGACCTCCAGCCACCAACACCGGCACCATGACTGCGGCCGTGCGGGACTGAGCGGAGGACCAGCTGAGCCGGCCTGGACTGTCTCCAAGAAGTGAGACAACTGGCGCTGTTTCAAGGCGCTGAGTTTGTGGTAACCGCGAAACTAACACACAGGGTGTCAGGTGGGCCCCAATGAGATGAGCTCCAAGGGGGCAGGAAGCAGGAGCGAGCTGAGCAGACAGCTGGGGATGAGCATCCCGGGCAGAGGGAGCTGCCAGAGCAACCGAACGCAGGCCGCAGGCCGGAGCGTGCCTGCTGCGTCTGCGGATCACACAGCCAGGCGGTGGGACAGGAGTGAGTGGGGGACAAGAGTGAGTGAGGGGGCGCAGGGGTGAGGGAGCGGGGCGCAGAGGTGAGGGAGGGGGACGCAGAGGTGAGGGAGGGGGCGAAGAGGTGAGGGAGGGGGCGCAGAGGTGAGGGAGGGGGGCACAGGGGTGAGGGAGAGGTCATAGAGGCGAGGGAGGGGGCGCAGAGGCGAAGGAGGGGGTGTAGGGGCGACGGAGGCGGATGCAGGGGTGAGGGCGGCGCAGGGGGGAGTGGGGTGGCGCCGGGGCGAGGGAGGGGGATGCAGGGGCGAGTGAGGGGAGCGCAAGCGGGAGTGGGGGGGTGCAGGGATGACAGGGCGCAAGGGTGAGGGAGGGGGCCGCAGGAGTGAGCAAGGGGGCCGCAGGGATCAATGAGGGGAGCGCAGGGAGGACGGAGGGGAGGGAGGGGGTGCAGGGGAGATGAGTGGGCGTGTGGGACCCGAGCGGGATGGTAAGAGCCGGCTCTGAGGCGGAGGCCTCCGCGCACACCACCCGGAAGCCCGGGGCCTCACCTCCTAGAGCGGGGCCGGAAGGGGCGGGACATGGGGGCGGGCCTTTCCTGCGGAGCCGGGGGCGGGCGGGCCGGGGCCGGGATGAGCGAAACCACCTGCGGGGCGGAGGCCTCCGCGCGCACCACCGAGAGGCCGGCCTCGCCTCCTACAGCGGCACCGGAAGGGGCGGGGCCTAGGGCGGGCCTTTCGGGTGGGCGCCGGGGCCCGGCGGCTCAGCTGGCCATTTTCCCGAGGGCCGGCGCGAGAAGGTGAGAGGTCGCCTTTCCGACCCCGGGCCCCTGTGAGCGCTGCGCCCGCCCTGCCCTCCAGCCGGGGACTCGCTGGGTCCTGCCTGCGTCGCGCGGGTCCCCGCCCTGGGCAGCGTCCTCCCTCCCTGGGCTCCGGCGCCGCGGGCGGAGGGCGAAGCTGCCCGAGGACCCACCAGCTCGGGGCGGCCGCGGCGAAGGCGTGGCCCCGGGCCCTGCGTGCGCGGGGGCGGGGGCGCATGGCGCTCCTCTCCTCTCGGCCTGGCCTTTCTCCTCGGCCTGGACACTCCGCGTGGCCGCTGGCGGGCGGGGGCCCGCACACTGGGTGCGTGTTTGCCCTTGGGTCTCAAACCCCTCGGTGATCGTGTCTCTCTCTGAGACGCAGGCTCCTGCAGGCAGCGGGGGAGATGGCTAGGGTGAGGAGTTTGCGGAGTCCTGCTGCTGGCGGACACCCGCAGCTTCATGCTACAGGAGGCTTGGCCGAGAGAGTAGAGGAGCCCCGGAGTTGCACAGCAGGTGCCAGCACCCTGGCGTTCCGCCCGGGCTCTCCTCTGCAAGGTGGATTGAGTTGTCTGTGTGGCTGTAGCAGCCGCTCATGTCTACAGGCTTGTGAAATGAGGACCGCGACAGTGATGTCTGATCTGCTCCGTCTTTAACAACTGTTATTCCTTGGTGTGCACAGCGCTTAGAGAAGTGAGAAAATCCAGTCGCTGCCTTGAGAGCACCTGGCAGCTGGGGTCGGACAAACAAAACAGTTATCTAGAATGTTTCTTGAGCACCGATATGTGCAGACTCTAGCCAAGTATCCAGGGGTTCAGGGATAAAAAAGACACGATCCTTGCCCTCAAGAACCTGTGCCTCATGGGGAGACTGCCGTGTCAGTGACGAGTCAAACATGGAGTGACAGGTGTCCTGGTGGGGGCAGTACTTGGAACACAGAGGAACACCATGTAGGGCCTCGGCTGGCAGTTGGGCTCAGCAGGTTCAGGGACCGCTCCCCTCCATCAAATGGAGTCAACAGAACCAGCCTGCCCTGGAGAGTGGCGGGCTGCAAGGGGCACCAGGGTTGGTTAGCTTCATGTTGGTTCTTGGTTTTCACGTCAGTTTCCTACTAAAACTAGACCCCAGCCTCAAACTCCAGCCTGGTTGAGTGGGGCTGTGCTCCTCTGCCCTAGTTCCCCCTGCCTGCCCCAGCAGAGGTGCCCCCTTATTTCTGCATGATCCCTCAGCCCAGATCACCTTCCTTCATCTTCAGTTCTGGCTCCCACCGGATGCTGAAAATGGCCTTCTCAGAAGCTGCCTCCAGTGGAGCCCTCAGAGAGGGATGTTGGACTGAAGGTAAGTCAGGTGTATGTACACATTTTCATTCAGAAGAAACTGGACTCTCAAACTGCTTGTCAAGATGGGAAATCCGCCCAGTCATTTCATGTGTTGCCTCTGTGCCTGGGAGAGAAGAGGAAAGCCCAGATGTCCCCTTTTGACTTGACAAAGAATTCACAGTACTTGTACCATGAAACATACGTTGCTTGGAATATTGTCACCTCGAGCACCACATTTCTGGGTAAGAGCCCGTCAGGGCCACCGCCCTCCTAGCAGATAAGGATACCCGGCACAGGCCGGGGGATGCTTCACTGCAGGGTGGTTTGAGGACTCAGAACACCATCTGCTTCCTTTGGAGCTTGGAGGAAAGAGCGTTTTCTCCTAATCTGGTGGAGATTTCTTTCACTGTCAGTTAAAGAGCCTGAAGCTTGTCGAGTTTTGTGCTGGGATCCTATGAGTTAGCACTGAGAGAGGAGGCAGATCAAGGAAGCTCAGAAATGATATAGGAAAGAAATAGATGAGGGTTCGTAACAAATGAAATACAAGCTGTGTGGTGATGCCTGACCTGTTGCTGGGACCGACCGATTCCTGTTTGAATCTGTGGTGAAATTGGGATGCTTTTAAGTGGAATTAGGGATGGAACATCCGATTTTTCAGGCAACGCAAGCAAGGTCCTAGTTGATGGTTACCTGGGGCCCTGGCCCTCTGGATGAGTTAGCTCAGGTTAAGTGCTACAAGGAAAACTAGAGGCGAGTAAGGAACAGGGAGTGGGGGCAGTGTCTGGTCGGGGTCGGGGAGGCTTCTGCGAGAAGGGCCCTTGGAGCAGAGCTCAATGAGTGAGGGGCCAGCCCCTCGAACACCTGCTCTCAGGGCCTGATTCTGAAAGCAACCAGGCACTGAGGCAGGAAGGACTGGGTATGTTTGGGGAATCGAAAGGCTGATGGCTGAAGGGGAGTACAGGGTGGGCCAGGGCCTGTCATGGGGCAGGGGCAGGAGTGTGTAGGGCTTAGTAAGGATGAGAGAAGCCATTGGGGATTTGAGCAGGACTGTGATGGGGGTTCACTGGCTGCTGTGTGGAGAATGGACCAAGAGGGAGGGCCGGGAGGCAAGGATGGGAGCAGGGGCACCCACAGGGAGCCAACCCCGAGATTCATCCAGCTCAGAATCTAGGCTGCGGGTGATGGGAGTCTTCCATGAGGGGCACATGTGGCTCCTGTAGCCCCAAAGTGCCTTGTCTGGTCCCAAATACAGGAAGTGGAGGAAGGATGGGAAAAACTCCAGAGGCCACATGGCAGTCATTGGTCCATGGTACACGTCAAGTCCTACTGGACACAGATGTGGAGACCTGGCCCCTGGCAGAGGAATAAGAATTCTTTGGTAAGCAGGTGAGTAAACCATGATGCCACTTACCGAGACAAGGAAAACCAGGAAGAGTGAGTTGGCCAGGGCTCTGGGGAAATCAAGTGTTCTGTCAGGTTGCATCCGGTTTGAGGCGCTCATTAGACGTCCAAGTGGGAATACGTGAGCAGGGAAGGGAAGTGGGCCATGTTCCCATGTCCCCCCGCCCCCCTCCCCTTCCCGCACTCCCTCCTGTCTGTCTGTCCCTTAGTAATTCAGCGCTGAAAGAGCTCAGGGCTGTGTTTTTTCCAGACACTTGTTTAAGGTTCATGGCCTTGCTCGCTCCAGCAGCAAAAGGATTGGTGGTGCTCTGCCTTCTCTTGCAGATTTTCTGTTCCAGAGCTTCAGTTACAAGCTCAGAAAAATGAAGAGTTATGTCTAAAGCAAGACCTTTCTGAAGAGGTGGGGTGACAAAGAAATTCTTATGTGAGACTGGAGAATTTTGCCCCTGGCCTTTCTCTTTAGCCTTTACTGGCTTCCGGTGGTCCTTCCTCCCTCTTGGGAACAGAGAGAGATGGAAAAGCGCACGGGCAAAAAAAGGAAGACCCAGACCCCAAAGGAAGAAGTAAATGTGCCAAAGGACACTTCCAAACAAGAGAAAGTGTCTGGGAACAGTCAGCCCAACAAGAGCTCCACTTTGGCTAAAAAGCCCAGTAAAGAGCCCGGCCTGAATCCTGACGATGAAGAACACATATTTGATGACTTCGATGCTTCATTTAAAGATGACTTTGAGGGCGTTCCTGTATTCATTCCTTTTCAGAGAAAGAAACCCCATGAATGCAGCAAATGCGGACGCATCTTTAAGCACAAGACAGATCATATCCGCCACCAGAGGGTGCGTACTAGAGAGAAGCCCTTCAGATGTGATCGGTGTGGGAAGACGTTCAGGCACAGTTCCGACGTCACTAAGCACCAGAGAATCCACACTGGAGAAAAGCCCTTTAAATGCGGTGAATGCGGAAAAGCCTTTAACTGCGGTTCTAATCCCCTGAAACATCAGCAAACTCACACTGGAGAGAAACCATATGAATGTAAGGAATGTGGGAAGACGTTTGGTTTGCCTACAGCTCGTGTCTTATTCGCCATTGGAAACATCACCCGCGGAGGAAGCACTGAGTGTGGGGAAGCTGTCCGCCGAGCACCACCCTGGGCAGGCCTGTCCCTGTGGTCCCTTCTCATTCAGCGTCTGATTGATGCCAGGTCCGTGAGAAATGGGTTCGATGCGCCTTTACTCGTCGGTCCCTGTTGACACCAGGAAAATCAACCCATTAGGTAAGCGAATGCCCATATGTGGCTAAAGACCTTTCTAGTCCAGAGAATCTCTGTGGATCAAGGCACTGTGATGGCGTGGAAGCGCCTCACAGATGCAGCACCAGAGATGGCACGTGTATGAACTGCTCTTGGCAGGGCGGGCTGCAGCCTCGGAGCACAGCCCAGCGGCAGAGGCACCTGGCGTTTGCCAGTGGCCTGGTGCCTCCCTCTGCCACCCCTGCCTGTGGCGTCCACTCAGGCTTCGGCCCTCTCCCCTGCTCCTTTGGTCTGCACACTCTTGGCCCACTGGGTCCCGAGCCCATGCCCATGCAGCCTGGCAGGAGGCCTGTGGCCCTGAGCTTCTGCAGTGAGCACCGGGAACCCGCCATCCCTGCTTGGCTGGCTGCGGTGACGGTCCTGTGGTTTGTTCTCTGGCTTCCGTCCTTGGGCTGAATCACCAGTCCTTGAACTCAGCTCCCCGTCCACAGGAACTGGACCCTCTGTGTGTCCTCCAGCCCAGCCACCATCTCAGATGAGCAGCATGACTTACCCAGATGGACCACTCGGGACACGGCTCCTCAGGACCTAAATGCTGCCACCGTGGGAGAGTCCTGCCCTGGCCACGTGGTGGGGGCCCTGGGACCCTGATGGCAGCTTCGATCCAGTCTGTGTCTACCATGTGGCCCTTCAGACACGAGGTGGTCTGCCCCTGCCCCGCAGGAGCCAGCTCTTTGTTCAGGTTAGTTCCGCTTCTCCGTGCCTGGCCCCCAAGTTCCATCCTATGCCCTGGTCAAGTCCATGTGCTGTGCCCGCCCTTGGTCTCCCTCCAGGAGTGATCTGGATGGGGCTCTGGGCTCTCCAGGGTGGTGAGGTGTGTCCTAGAATTTTGACACACTATAAGGGGAGACAAGGTGACTGTCAACCAGGAGGTAATATGGCTTTTTATTAAGAAAATGTTGATGTCTATGTTTTCAGCTATTTGGAGCTAAAAAAGTAATAATGGCCGTAGTCTTTGGGGATTCCTTCCTGAAAGAAGGCCCCAAGGGTGGAGCAGGGCTTCTCCATCGGGCAGTCACAGACGACAGAGGGCAGAGTGCGCCCGATGGAAATGTTTCTCCGAGTTAACAGAGTTTTGTTCTTTCTAAAAGCTATGAGGTTATAACAGCTCTCTCCAAGCTGGGTGCCTTGGCTCCACGGTGCAGCAGGCCCTCCTCCCACACCCGACTCAGCTCGGCCCGAGGGTGAGGGCATAAACTGCTACCTGTGATCCAGCTCTTGTAGTCCCAGAAATGGACATCTGATGAGGCGAAATTGTTCCAGAAGAGGTGCCAGAGGCTGGCTTAGGGGAGACACACGGTGTGTGATCCTGGGTGGGAAGGTTGCTACAAAGGACGTTACTGGGACATTTGTCAAACCTGGGTCTATAGTGTCCACTAGGTGGCAGGGCCACATCAATTTGAAAGTTCCCCGCTTGGATCATGGCCTGCGGCCATGCCAGACGGCGTCCTTGTCACGAAAGATGCACGCCAAGGTTTTCAGGGGCACAGAGTCATGACGTCTGCAGTTTACTCCCAAATGTTCGGAAAGCAGCAGTGATAACAACACACGTGTATACACTGAGAGTGACAGAGCAAACTGGCCCAGCGTCAGTCAGCCCTGAGTCTAGAGCAGCGTTGGCAAACTTTTTCTGTAAAGGGCCGGATAATAACCGTTCTTGGCTCTGCGGCCATCACGTCTCTGTCACTACTGCACTCAGCCGTGATGAGTGACAGCAGTCACAGACAGAACAGAAACGAATGAGTGTGGCTGTGTGCCAATAAAGCTTTATTTACAAAAACAAGTGGTGGGCCAGAATTGGCCTGTTCTAGATGAAGGGTGGGGTATGTGAGAATTCACCCCCTATCCTGTAAGTCTTAGAGCCCTTCAGAAGTAAATGTTGGTGGGGAAAAGCTGGGTGCAGGAGCTGTAAAGAAACCATGGGGAGGGGCCAGCCCCATGGCTTAGCGGTTAAGTGCGCGCACTCCGCTGCTGGCGGCCCGGGTTCGGATCCCGGGCGCGCACCGATGCACCGCTTCTCCAGCCATGCTGACGCCGCGTCCCACATACAGCAACTAGAAGGATGTGCAGCCATGACATACAACTATCTACTGGGGCTTTGGGGGAAAATAAATAAATAAATAAAATTTATTTAAAAAAAAAAGAAACCATGGGGAGGGGGTCAGGGAGATGCTCAGAGCAGGCTCTGCTGCTTGTCTTGATGCGCCAGGGAGGATGGGATGTGGGCACACGGACGTCGGCCACAGCCACGGCCCTCACACGTCCCGGGGGTATCTGCACCTGCTTTGGTTTGGTTTGGTTTTTATTTATTATAGTATTATAATATACTATGACATGTTATTATACATAACATTGTTATGTAACATATCACATATTACAATATATATACTACAGAAAATTATCATTTTCTATATTGTTATGTCTCCATGTTATTACCAGTGGGAAGCATTATTTTTTATGGCTACATAATGATCCATTGTTAGAAAAGTTGACTTATTCTGTTTATTTCCTAACAGGGCATGTAGGTGGTTTCTGGTTTAGATCATTATAAATAAGCTGTGATAATTATCTTTTCCATGCTTAGGGCCAACAGGACGGGTCCCAGAAGCAGAATGACAGGCGGAGATCATCCTGGCAAATGCCTTCCTCCGGGTTGTGCCTCGTAGGTGGCCCAGTAGCACATGGACAGCAGGTCTACCCTGGCCTCTCCGGCAGGGCAGGTGGGTTTTAATCCTTGCCAGTTTGTTAGAAGAGAAAACACATGTTCTCATCTGATGTCTCTGATTCCTAGAGAGGAAGCAGGTGGTGAAGAGCAGGGCTCTCGGGCAGGGGTTACCAACCTGGCCCCCAGGCTTTGGGGATGTGGGGCCTTGGGTGCATCCTCAACCTCCTTGTGCCTCGGTTTCCTCAGGTGTGAAGTGGGGGCGCTGGCAGTGCTCAACCTAATTCCATGACTTCCTCTGTGAAGCCCTGAGTACAGGGCTGGCTCACCTGATTGTCACCTGAACGTCAGCTCTTGTCACAGGTAAGTGTTCTTGGTGGGGCGGACATTTGTTCACGTGGATGAGAGGTGGCCATGCACGCTGATGGCCTTTGATGCCTCTCCCAGGAGAAGACTGCAGCTCACTTCAACTAAGTCAGCCTGGAAAACAACGACAGAAAAATACTTAAAATACACTTGGAAATTTAAAAAAAATACAGTTTACAGTCATGAGAAAAATCACACAATCAAACTAAAATCAGCGAGCGACCTCTCTTGCTGCCTGTCATTTGGCGCAGACGGACGGGCTCCGTTCTCCTTTCTCCTCAGTTAGCCATCGTGACGTCACAACATGCCAAGCACCGAAGCCAAACCTTCCAGATTAATCTCTGTTTTGATGTTTATCTTATTGTTGTTCAAATGCAACTCACATTGCAGGAAACAGAAAACCTTCTAAATAACCTGAGTCAAAGGAAAAACATAAAGAAGGTTATAAAATACTTAAACCTCAGTGATAATGAAAATCTGACTGTCAGAACTTCTGGGTGCAGCCGAAGCCGAACAGAAACATGTAGGCTTAAATGCTTGTGTTAGAATTAGCAGAAGAGCTGGGAATCAATAAGCCAAGCATCCAACTTTAAAAGTTATAAAAAGAACAACAGAATAAACTCCAAGTAGAAGGGAGGAAATAATAAAGGACAGAAATTAATAATACTAATGGGAATGAATACTGTGGAGAGCATTAAAAAGGTCACAGTTGGTTCTTTGAAAGGACCATTAAAATTGAAATTCTCTGGCAATAGGATCAAGAAAACAAGAAGGAGCAAATAAATTATTAGGAATGAGAAGGGGAGGGAGACACAGATCCATCTGAGATTGAAAAGATAAAATGCCGAGCCAGTGAGTGTGAACTCGGGTGAAGTGGTTGTTAGAAGGAAGAGGAGTGATGAGCCAACTCAGAAGAAACAGCCTGAAAAGTCCCCTCACCACTGGACAGAGTGTACTTGTAGTACACAGCCTTCCCAGAAGCACACAGGTCCACGTGGGGTACAGGTGAATTCAAGAACAAACAACTCCACTCTTACAGGACTCAGAGACAGAAAGGGGACACGTGCCCACCTTATTGTATGAGGCTATGTGAGTGTGACATCAAAATTACAGCGCAGTGTCACATGCTCATTGATGCACAAGTCCCACACAAAATGCCAGCAAATGCTGGGGCTGAGGTAAAGGGAGTGAGTGCGGAGGGCGTGGGGACCTCCATCCGGTGGTTGACATGTTCTCTGTCTCCACGCAGCGGTGGTTACACAGGTGCATACATTTGTCAAAGGTCCACTGCCTTCTGTATTTAAAATGGGCACATTTTATTGTACGTAAATTAAACCTCAAAAAGTTGACTAAAGAATATGAATCAGAAAAAAAATACTAGCAAACCCAACAGCACACAAAAAGATAACATAGCCTGACCAGCTTAGGTTTACTTCAGGAAGGCAAATATGGGTCAGCATTGACGTGCTTTCTCACACTTAACAGATTTAGGGGAGAGAGGGGCCCCATATTATCATCTCAATGGCTGCAAAAAATATTTCCTAAATTCAACATCCATTCATGATTAATATTTCTTCATAAATAAGGAATTTAATGGAATTTTCTAAACCTGATAAAGAATATCTACCAAAACGCATAGCAACATTCTACCTTAGGGTCAAATGTTAAACAGCATTCCCTTTGAAATCAAGAACACGACAGTGCTGGCTGTCACCGCTCTAGTCAGCATTGGACTGGAGATTCCAGCCAGGGCACTGAGATGAGGAATAACAGACGTGCATAAGATTAGAATGGAAACCCTAATTGTCAGTATTGGCAGATGATATTATTGTCCACCTGGAAATCTGAAAATAATCACAAACTATTGAAATTATTAAGGGTTTAGCAAGGTT